TGAACACAATCTACCCACCTTCACTGACCCAACTCTAGTATATGATAATCTGGTTCAGAATGTTTCATCACCTATGATAACACATTCAGACCAAGAAAGAAGTGTATTAGAGAATATAGCTTATAGAATTGCATTTCTATCAGATATCCGAGAGCAGTTGTAAAACTGAATCAAGAAAAGACAATACTTCAGACAGCACCTGGCTGTATATGATGCTATAGATATAGATATTAGGCAACACATTTACAAATGAGTAGCAAAAGAAATGGGGCGACTAAGGACAGTTTTAGGACATGGTGCTTCTCTGGTACTGGAATAAGCCTTTCTGGTTCTCACTGGATGGAGTGTTGCTACCACAGGACCACAATACCTGGCAAAACGCAACTTAAGCAATGAGTGGTTTATTTTGGCTCTCAGTCTCAGAAGTTTTAGTCCATGCTGGAGAGGAAAGCACAGTATAGCTCACAGTGGTGGCAATGTACACATTGTTGGCAATGTACATTGCTATGGCAGGCTCAACACATCTCAGTAGACCAGGAAGAAAAGAAAAGCAGGAACTTGAAGCCAGGTTAATGGCTTTCACAAACCCATCACTAGCTGCTTGCATCTGCAGGCTGGAATGCACTTTCTGAAATTACACAGCCTCTCAAACAGCCTTGTAATGTTTGAGAACATGAGTACGTGAGCTTGCAGAGGACATTTAAAAGTCAAACCAGAACTTTTGTACTTGACTTCCAAAAGCTCATGGCTGTCTCACAATGTACAATGCATTTAATCCAACATCAGAGAGCCTAAAGCTTTTGTATGCTTCAGTATCCTTAAATCCAAACTCTACTGGGACTGGAGATGATGTTTAGCTATAAACTACTATCTACTTCCAGCATACAACAGTATAAGGTAAGCATTGTTCCCAAAGGGGAGACATACAAAACAGACAAAAAAGGAAAAGATTGAACCAAAGCAAGGTCCTAAGTTCTATGTCCAGTAGGCTATGCCTAGGGCTCTGTGATATAAAGCCCAGCAGACTTAGGCACCACACTCATAGCCCTGCTACCTGTAGCACACATGGCCTATTTTAGAAGCTGTCTTCTTTGGTGGCTTGAAAGTTTCATCAGCAGGTACTTCACATTCCTGTATCCCCAAAACAGTATGTCCTCCATTGTAACTGTAAGGACTACTGCTTGCGTGATTTTGACTAATTTAAGGACTCTCTCCCTCTCTTTCTTGCTCTCTCTCCCTCTCTCTCTCTCTCTCTCTCACTCTCTCTCTCTCTCTCTCTCTCTCTCTCTCTCTCTCTCTCTCTTAGAGATTTTTATGCAGGCTTATTTTGCTTATCCTATCCTTAAAACCCATCCATTTTTTTTTAGCCTGTCAAAATGTCCTTTCTTTTTTAAATACAGTGGAGGAAGGAACAGAAGTATAAAGGAAGGAATATAGAAAGGGTCGACTAGCACTACAGGTCATTTGTAAAGCCATATAGAAACCTACTGTGTAGAAGCTTCTTACAATAAAACATATAGAAAGGGAATGTAAATGGAGTTCCAAGTAAGAGGAAGCTGATTCCCCAACTAATTAACTTACACTACCAAGTAAAGCCTCGGGTTCCAGGAATGAGTTACATCTTGTTAGGCCAAAGGGACCCCATAAAAAAGTCCAAACATCACAGGCTGTCGTCAAGCCTATTAGTTGCACCCCACAACCTGCTAGTAAGACTTTATTGCTGAAAACAACACTTGCTTATGTCATTGAAATGGACAGGTTGAGCTGGTGCCTGACTCAAAGGCTCACCCCTCTCGGTTGGCATGCATGGCACTGGAAGTTATCCTATATGTTACTAGAGGCAAAAGGTTATCATCAGTATCATCTAGCTACAAACCCTGGGACTTAGTGAAGATACATGGATGTAACAGTAGCACAATACCAACCACTTTTAAAATTGGATTTAAGGCCCACTCCATGAGATGGAATCTACATCTGACCCTGCTAAACTGGCCAAGAACTTGAGACTAGATAATTCATGGGACAAAGGAAAAAACTTATTACTATTACTGTACATAATTCAAGAGCCTAGGATAAAACCTACTATTATTAGTCTACTAAAGGAACTTATCAATAAAATGATTCATAATGGCATTTGCTCATCAGCAAAGCTTCCTCCTTTCAGTAGATGGGAACTAACACAGAGACTAATGAATGGACAGTGTTGAGAGACTTTGGAACACTCAGATCTAGGTGGGATGTCTATGCCCAAGCCCTCCTCTCACAGCCAGGAATCTATGCAGAAGAGGTAGAAAAATTTCGAGAGATGGAGTGATGGACAGCTCCAAGAGACCAGTGTTTTCCAGACACAACAGGATTGATGCACATACAAACTCAGAGACTGCGGCACGCACAGGACCTGCACAAGGTTCCAGCACTGAGAGGAGAAACTGGACATGAGGTTCTATCCCTGACTAAGAAGCTATCTGCAGTTGATAGCTACTGGCAAAATGAAAACAAGTCCATAGTATTTGTAAAACAGGGTACTATGGCCCATCCTAGCTGTTTCAGGATGTGTACCAACTACTCCAGAGATTTGTGTCCACTGGACTCCCATGGACTGGAAAGTAGGACCAGTCCACTCCTCTGCTCGTCCCTCTATCACTATGTTACTCACCTAACAGATGCTCAGAAGATGAATAGCTGGGGATTGTAAAGAGGACATGTAAGCAGTGATATCAACACCAGTGTACACTTAATGTTCTATTAACATGCATCAATTAAACATTAATTGCTCCCGTGTTAAGAGCTGACCAATAATGACCTTGGTCTATCATGTACTTTCTATTGTGCCTTTTCAAACATTGCAAGGAATTCATTGGCGCCAGCATTTTAAAACAGTTATATTGGAAACATTCTTCCAAGGTAATTGTTGTCTACATGTCGAAGCCAATTACTGTGGCCCCTCCTTGGCTATCTCCCCAGAGTCTACTTGAACTCTGTCTCTTCATATTTTGTCATCACTGATGGCTTCTAGACCTGTGTCCTGCCAGGATAACTGCTGAACTTCATAATCCTGCAGCCATGCTTTGTCTTAGTGCGCTGAACTCTGAGCCTCTGTTTTCTCATCTTGACAGAGGCAGCTCCTCCCATCAGATCACTCTGGTGATCAGTAATACACATCCTGCAGAAGGCCTGACACCATAGTTTGTTCTTAACAATCACTAGTCTGCCACGCCTTGCTCTAAGCAACCCTACACAGCTCTAGTGAACCCAAACACTGGGTCTCACTATTTTTGTGATTAAAAAAAAAAAAATATTCTCATGACCAGGAACCTTCCATGCTAGCCCTTTATGTGTTAAACCATGGTGTTACATATACACTAGTTGTGTAGGAAATGAACAGCTATAGAAGTATGTTCCAAAGAAGATGTCACAAAGAGAATGCTTGCAGCATGCATTTAATAATCTTATGTGTTCACTAACATGTATTAATTACACATATGGGCTGAGGTCAGTGTGAGTTATTGTGATATTTGAACATATTCATACAGTGAGCTCTGATCCAATCCACATTTTGTCCTCACCCTGAACAATCTCTACCCCACACTGAGGTGGGACATGTGACACTTGTTTTTCTGTGTCGGGCTGATCTCTGCACTATAGACCTCTTTACTCTATACTCTAAAGGATTTTTGTCTTACTACAAAATATAAATCGCATGAATTAGGAATTTTACTCTATACATGCAAAACCTCACTGTAGAGGTGTTCACGCCTCCCACAAAAGAGGCATGCGATCCACACAAGTCCTTACACACATCTACACACATACAGTGCCTGGGAAATCTGACTGGTGTGTGTGTAAATGTTTCAAACCTATTTTATATTTGTATGAACATGAGTTTTAAACTTCACTGTTACTGTATGTGTGCATGCATACATTTCAAACCTATCATCATACCTGTGTGTGCACAAGTGTTTTGATATACAGATTCCATGGAGGTTTTAATTTGAGTAAAATGTATTGCTGATAATAATCATAGATGTTTAGAAACTGCTGAATAACACTGCATATTTTTTTATGAACAGCCCTGTCACATGTGCCTAGTGTGAACATTATGACTGGTATGACATCTACATGGCTCCATGGTGCAGCATCCTGCTATGGTTTGGGTGCAGTGTTTCCTGAGAGTTCAAGCCAAGCCTGACCCCAGCATAGTAGGATAAGGTACTGGAGCATCAATGAATGGAACTTACTGAAAGGTTGTTCGGTCAATGTGGGTGAGCAAGGTGGGCTTGAGGTGAGAAGAACCGTTAGATCTCACAAGAATATGTTGTTGCAGGTGACAGGAATGCTCCTCCCTGCTCTTTGTCAGGGAGCTGTCTTTTTTATCATTTCCCAATGACACCATCTACCAGCACTCTCTTGAGCACTCAGCCTCCGAAACTGATAGCCAAGTAAATTTATTTTTTTATAAATCAACAGCTTCAGGATTTTGTTACAGTATTGAAGGACTGACTAAAACACATGTTTTAGACTAAAAATTTCAGACTCGCTCAACATGGTGGTATATACCTATAATCCTAGTAGCACAAGTGGCTGAGGCAGAAGAATTGTAGTTCAAGACCAGCCTGGACTACTTAGTAAGAAACACACACACACACACTCACACTCACACACACGTGTGCTTTGGAGACTGCAGCTCCATTCTAAAGCATTGTATGCACTACTGAATCACAGGGATCCAGGACAGGGCAGACACAAACCTGCATGCTTGAATCACATGGATATGGATAGTATTACTGTGTTTAGAATGACCCAAGGTCTTGTATGCTACAGCAGGGCTTAGTATTCATTCTTGGTAAGTTCATGGACATTGGCTATTCTATCATGTATTGTTATAAAAGATCATATTATTTGTATCAGAACCAATAGTAACAGTAATGTAATATTTTCTATTGTCTTCTCTCACTTATGAGCGCAAAATTAGACACACAATGAAAATATCATTACACAACTTTTTAAGTCTAAAAAGGTTTTATTTAACCGACATAACCATATCCAATAAAATCCAGCTTCAGAAAAAAATTAGTTGCTTGCTAATTAGTGGAAAATCGTATCTTAAAAAAACCCAATAAATCCAACCAACTATTGTAGAGTTTGATGCAAATTTCAGTCCAGGGCCTCTTCCTTTGGCTCATGCCCTTTCATAAACTCTTGTAGAAGTCACACCTTTCATGATACATTCCTAGACACAGGAACAAAATTGACATAGTCAATCATAGAGATAACAGCATGGATTTAATTTTTTTATTTCTCGGTCTTGGAAAGGAAATGATATTCAACAACAACAAAAAACCCCATGTGTTCTAGAATCTTATCTTATATCGCACATCCGTTCCCAAGTATAATAGGTTAGGGTAATACAAAGACCAGGAAGATGCAGGTCCTCCTCCCAGGGAGCTGGAAAATCTCCATGGTGAGTACCATGAACAGAAATACAGAATACAGTCCCATGAAGATGTTGTACTAGGTAGCCTGTGATGCCAGAGAGGAGGCAGGGACTGCTTCCTAGGGGGAAATCATACGTGGGTGAAGCTTGAGGTGTGAGGGGGTGAAGCCTGAGTGTATGAGGGGTGGAGCCTGAGGCATGAGGGGGTGGAGCCTGACTGACTGCATGAGGCGGTGGAGGTGCAGCTCAGAGGGGTAGAGCACATTAGGCAAGTATGAGAACCAGCATTCAACCCTCAGCTCCAAATAAACAAATACTACAAATGAACCTTTTGTTCTACACAGCAGGTCCGTTTTCTAGAGTACAGTAATGGTCCTGAGGCCTGGATAGTAGAGTCTACAGCTAAGTATGCACATAACTCACCACCACCAGCTTGTCACCGTCTCGTTTTCTCTTTATGGTGGTCGACTTTCCATCCCACTTCTGCACCTGTACCAGGGCCCCACCATCTAGGGTTATGATGCTCTGTGGGCACAGTGAAAAGATTGCAATAGCACATGAAGGTCAAGACTGGAAACACAGAATCTGCCTTCAAAGGACTATTCTGAGGACCTTAGTAATTCTACAGGACAAGAACATAGTCCAGCAAGAAAATAAAAAGAAAAACATGTCTTTTTAAAAAATGTAGAACTCATATATATGTATATCTACTTATATATTCTAATTGAAATAGAAAATAAAACTACGTCTTGAAAAAATGGATAGACTGAAAGAAATTAAATGACGAAATGTATGTTGGCACGGTGATAATACGATGAGTTATTCTTTCAGCCTCCCTTTTATAAACTTCCTTTAATGTTTTACTGCTCTAATTTACTTCACATACACTATTGTATAACTCATAAAACATGCTAATCATTGTTAACCTCGGGACAACTTAGTAACAAGAGGAAACGCGTCCTCTGCGCGCTGATGGAGATGGGTTAGGTCTAGGAGCTCCGAGGCCGTCAGTCTACCAAGGGAAGCTTCCTTGTCCTGAAATCGCTTCTTGCAGGCTGTGGAATTAGAAGCCGGGCCCCCTCACTCTGCTCCAGATCCTTGTTCCTCACCTTCACTTTCCTGTCATCTGCGGTGATTTCATCGAATTCCACCCCCAGTTTGAAGGAGATCTCCGTGTTTTTAAAAGTACTCTCTGACCGGATGGTGACTGAATCCCCATTTACACTGATGATCATGTTGGGCTTGGCCATACCGGCGACTTTCCTGGTGGCAAAGCCCACTCCTGTAGGAGAAGAAGAAAGCACATTAAGCTTACATTTTTGTGTGCTCCATGAAGAAGACACCAGGGTGCTGGAGGCTCCTTTGAAACAGACTTCGAAGCTAAGCATGTTGTGATAATCACTGAAGATATTCTCTCAACCTCACCATCCATCCAGATTTATTGTTAGCGTGTCTTTTGACTGCTAAATACAATCCCTTAGGAAAGTCGTTCTTAATTTCAACAAGAATGTATAAAGAGATTAATTCTTCATAGTTTGATGTCTATGTGTTTAATATCTGTCAGTATATTTATAATATATTTATTATAATATGCTAATAATATATGTGTATGTATACAATCTCTATTTTCTATTTGTGATTGTGTGATTGAGACAGTTTGACCATTATATTCTTTCTTAATTATTAAAAGATATATGTATATATATATGTCAAAGACCAGGCCTGATATAGAGTTATTGTGTTAAAACGTCATCTATTTTGAGTGAACAAAAATCACATTTCACAATAATTGTTGCCAAGTTTAGTCTTCTAGACTTCTTTCCCATATTATTCCCTCGTGAAATGAAGATATTTGATTAATTTCTCTAAAGTGAACATTGTTTTTCTTTTTTCACATATCATGTCATTTTAGAATGGCAATAGCATTCTCAACAGTAAGGAAAATTAAAGGGTATTCAGTAAGTATCTTTTGAACTCAAGAAATCAGAATTTCATTGTGTAGAATAGTTTGGAAACTAACGCTCTGCATCTCGGTCACTCAAGTTGTGAGCTTTGTTTGCTTAGATGAAGAAAAGGCTTCCCTGTGGAGGATGAACAACTTCCAGTCTTAGTTGCTTTCTCTGGATATGTTACACAGAATCCTCCTGTCGTGGGTGTGCTGACTCTAACACAAATGCTTAAATAAAGGCCATGTATTTGACGACAGGTGACCAAAGGCTAGGACTAAGGATGAACTGAGAGAGAACCACAGCACAAGATAGCTGATGCAGAGGGTGAGACTTGGTTCTCTGTCTAAACAGTAACCACTGTGAGGAAATGGTGTATCTCTGCCTTGAGTCATCACTCTGCCACAAAACACAGAAGTCGGTACAACCAATCAGCGCAGGAAAGGGATGCAGCAATGGAAAATGATTCCAGAGAGACCATGCTGGGGACAAATGACACACAGTTTCACTTGTGTCTTCATTTTTATTTGACTGCAGAAGCCAACACCTGACCACTCTGCCTTAATTACAGTTGCCAGTTCCATTCAGGAAATATCTTACTGCCTTTAATCATGGGTGTCTCACAAATGAAATAGTGTTATTATAATTTAGATTATGAATGTTACCAGTACAAAATGTTTCAGTCAAGAGCTAAAAGCGGCTCAAACCCTGTCGTTTCTGGTTCAGTGCATAGTAACTACCACAGTGAACAGTAAATAGTCCATGGGTTAAGAGGTCAGTCATGCTGAAATTCCTGATATTCTTCTTATCTGCAAACAAGACAACAACATTGACAGACAACCAAAAGTTCCCACTGTATAACTGAGAGAAGGTCAAGCCTTTGGAGGTTTGGGGGATGCTGTCCTACTGGAGATGTGCTGTAATATGGGAAGGTTAGGAGAGAAGGGGCTCAGCGCAGAAGCTCCCTGATAAAGTGCATCTGGCTGATGGCCCTGTATACTGCCAGTGCTGCTCAGTGACCACTCACAAAGCAGCCTGTGGCAGTGCTGACAGACCCTAAACCACTCCGAGCCTCTGTTACTGGAAGGGCACAGCTACATGTGCTTCACCTGCCTTGATTTCCTTTTGAATTTCTCACAAGTCTATGACATCACATCTCATTCTAAACCAATGAATGTTTAAGTCCTTGAAGAAAAAAATCCCCGGAAGCCAAGCTTTTGTCTACTGTAAAATAATCACACATCCTCATGCCTTGACATTGAGACGGAAAAAAATTTGCTAAAATATATTTTCCAACATGATTTTTTTCTAAGATGCGCAACATCATGCCTTCAGTTTTAAGTAAAATTTACCCTCATGCTTTTTTAAAAAAAATTTTTTTCTTTTTAAGTTGTTGCAAATTTTTTCATGTAAAAGGAGATGTTGAAAACAGGCAAAGAGCCAAATAAACCCCAGAGGCACCAACTTAGCGATGAAGGCGACATCATGTTCTACAGACAGTAAAAGATTTTCTTTTAGACTCTTCCCTGCTGGTTCACCTGGAGGGAGCACGAGGTTGAAGCTTTGATTGAGAAAACTTCTTGGACAGTCTTTTTCTTGTAGCTTCTACACCATCCATGCAGACAGCAGCGTTTCCTCCCACACAGCTCCCTCCCGGGCTGAAAGCCAGCTACAAGCCCTGTCCCCAGCCGGGCACCCGTCACCCACAGACAAGCCCTGTCTCCAGGCAGGAGCCTGGTCCCCCACAGCACTCACCCACTTCCTTCATGTAATCATCAAAGTTTTCACTGGAGACGAGTTTCCAGGTTCCCACAAAGGCATCACACATTTTGTAATCCTTCGAGGAGTTGCCTGCCAGGTGAGAAAAGACGGGAAGGTGCTGTGAGCCTCCTGAGTCCAGATACCTTGCTTTTAAAGATGCCCCGACCATGTGACTGTAGGAGTGACCAATGGGGGATGACCCCAGATCATTTCCTTCATGACCAGACCCTGTGTTTTTTCCCTCTGAGTCATGTTTTTAATAGAAATTTCTCAACTTTGGTTCTCCCTGGCAATGATCACTGGACTTAGAGTACAAATTATTTTTAACCATGAATAGTGTTTTAAACGTCCCTGTTTTGAATGTTAAAAGCTAATGCACTGAACTTCCCCATTATTCCATATGGATTTACCTCATTGTGAAGGAACCAATCACCTTGGGACACACTTTGACCTTCTTATCTTGAGTTTTATTTTATTAATACTCTGCACAGCCCTGGTAATCCTGGAACTCATTACCTAGACCAGGCTGTTCTCTTACTCACAGAGATCTTCCTACCCTGATTCTGAATGCTGTCTATAGTGGCCTAGATTTATAATTTCAAATATTTAATATATTTAAATGCATTCTGATCATTGCTCAGGAATGAGTACACAGATTTATTTAAATTAAAAGTTAAGCTTTATTTTCTCCACTCCTAAATAACCATGTAGTATTGGTTTTTACAGACCCCTTAAAAATGGATCCCAATCCAAAATATGTCCCTCCTTCCATTTCTGAAATATATTGTAAGTTCTAAATTCTCAAAGATCTAAAGATTGTGGATTTATGTGAATAATCAAAAGTAATGTGGTCAAGAGTTATCAAAACCTGTTTTCTTCTTTGACACAGTGACTAATCTGAGATAGCTTTATAAAGTAATCCTGGTTCTCAGTCTCCCTGCCTCGTACCAGAGTGATGGAAGACATTCTCATGTACACCGATGCCTGCGAGCATACCCACATTTCAGGATATTGGAGAGAGAAGGACTGCTGTACAGTGTCTTGCTGAGAAGTACCTGCTCCCAAGCCCCCTAATGCCAGCCCCCAAAGTCTGGGGAAATGGATAATGCAAACATGGTATTTTCTGTAGGAAAATGGGCTACTGTAGAAGTTTGATAAATTTAGCCTAGAGTGGCAACTTTTAATCACACCTGCTAACGGCAGGGGCACAACTTTCACCCACTATGGACTATGACTTGAGCACAGTGCTGCTATCTCAGAGACATCTGTTTCCTACTGGATAAGATCCTTTGGCTTGAAACTCAAATAAAGTAAGGGATCCTAATGCAGGAATAATTTTGATAATGTTCTAACTTGTTTTATTTGAAACATATGCTGATGCCTAACTTAGGCATGCTCTCAAACCATTATCCCACCGTGCTCACTGCATGTGGACTATAACTCTATTTCTATTTCTCTGTGGTGTAGAGAAAGCCCATCCAGTTCATGTTTGCGTAGTCACACAAAGCTCTTCTGCCTGTGTCTGTGGCTGACATAACAGTAAAGCTCAACTTGAAATGGTGCTTAATTTCAATGAAAGGAAAGCAATTATTCTTAGTTTGGTGGTTATAAAAAAATTTAAATGTGAAAAATATAAAAATAAAATGTGTGGAACAACTTGAACCAATCAACCTAAGTTTTTTAACTATAAGTTTTGTGAACTTTAAATAATGAACAGGTACTTAAAAAAAATGAGTCTGAATCACGATGTTTATTAGTGTACAATACACTAATAGTTCTATAACCACTGTTGAAGTTAATATAAAATGCAATGTATAGTGGAAACTTCTTACACTGAACATATGTTGGAATAACTGTAATTAAGGCTAGTTGAGAAAAATACATTACTAAAAGTCATCTCTTTTTAACTTTTAATGTGGTTGCTATAAAACTGTAATTTCACACGTGGCTTGTGTTGTTTCTCTTGGGAAGGGCTGCATTACTGCAGCACAGTAATACCAAGCCCATCCATTTATTCACATGTGACTCAGGCACTGTGCTGACCACTGGGCATCCAACAGTGAGCCTCGCTTGCTCTCACAGAGCAAGGAGCATGCTCCCCACATGGGAGAAGACGGTGGACAAGGGGACAGTTAAGAAAGCCACCGTGCAGAGCATCCGCACTTCGTAAGCTTACATGATGGCTAGTCTGGTGGTTGGTGACTCTGGGAGGAACTTCCAGAACAAAAGAATTGTCAGCTGAAGACAGATGACTACCACTAGAAGACTGGGGAATGAGAAACTGCAGGATTCCTAGCTTAGCGCCGTGTTAATTTCACTCAAATATGGCCACGAAGGGTATCCGTAAATCAGGACAAATGTGTGAGTTTGTTTTTAGTAAGCAATAACCAACTGTGAGGTAATGATTTTTATCCACATTCATTCACTGTGAGATACCATCAGATATCCCATAAAATACACCAAGGGAATCTTAATTGACCAGGTTCCACCATTGAATCTTAATTGAGAGTCTGCCATTGTCCTATTAAAACAAAAACTCCAAAAGCAAAGCAAGAACAAAGAAAGAAAGAACTACCACAGGAGGCTGAGTCAGGAGACTCACCTAAGTTCTCGGCCTGCCTGAGCCACTGAGTGAGTTCAAGGCCATTCTAGTCAATTTAACGATGAGTGTGACTCAAAATTAAAAGTTAACAAAGAACCAGGGATGCGCAGCAGCCACCACAAAGACGCAGCAGGCTGAGGACTTCCCCAGAGCTGTGGGGAAGGGTCTGCAGTGGGAACGGCCTGGCTTTGCTGTGGGGATGTGGGGCCTGGCTCTCATCTCAGGGCTGACAGGGCTGTTTGCCTTGCACTTTGCTCCTCGATGGGCAGCTTCTGTGGACGGCATCCTCCTAACCTTTGCCCATGCTTACTTCTGTGGACGGCATCCTCCTAACCTTGGCCCATGCTTACTTCTGTGGACAGCATCCTCCTAACCTTGGCCCATGTTTATTTCTTTCAGAGGAAATGAGAGTATTATTTCTGACAATTTTTAGTTAATGAGGAAACAGACTCCTGTCTGGATAATAAAGAGTAACGACAAAGCTTTGGTGTTAGGGTGAGCTTTCAGTTTGTCCAGACCAGCTAAGGTGAGGGTTCATGCCCAAGCTCCCCTTTCATTGGAAGCAAACTTCCTTTGTTAACGCTCAGTTTCTAAGTATATTTGGTGTTTGTTAGCCATTGTAAGATGAGCCCTTAACAGAAAATGTAGGTATGTTTTCTTTTCTTTTTCTCACTGATGGGATCACTAACCATGAGAGCTATTCTGGGTCCCCTATCCAGCTAGACCAGTATGTTCTTCATTACATGTATGGTTACAGTGACTGAGTATTGACTCTTTGACCTCAAAATGGCAACAGTTTTTCAGAGAGTGAGTAAGCCATAGGCTCTGCCTCCGGTGAAGGGCATTGACTAAAGACAGACTGTGAGCACCTTGAAGGCTCTTAGGTAACTTCTTCATTTGCCTTCTTGCTCATAAAAGAAACTCTTCACACACAGTTCAGGATGTGCAAACAGGAACCCATGGTGGGGAGGGGCATGGCAAAGTGCTTTCTGCATATAAACTGTGACCTACTTGGTCTTCATGTCATAAAGCAAACCCCATCAGAAACTAAGTGGAAGCAAAGGTGAAAGTCTACCAGAAAAAGCAGAAAAGAACTTACCAACAGGCTAGTTACACCATCAGAAGTAATCCCCCGCCAATATACATACATGCATATATCTCCATAAGGGCAGATACGTAATCACGTACAAGCACACATACAGGAACATAAACACACATGTATGTACCCCCCCCCACACACTTCACATTTGTTCTCTTTGTGTTTGTGTCTTATTACCTTCACCAATCTCAACTGTTTGCATTTTATATATCTTAAAGCCTGCGTACATATATAATTTACCTTCTAGAGCTAAATGCAAGGAAGATATGAAATCGCTAATAAGCACCAGTTGTGTTTGGTACATGGTGATGTTCTGATGCAAGAAAGATGTTCTGTGTTAAAAATTTAAAAAGAGCCACACAACAAACAAACAAATCCAAACAAACACAAAAACAAACAAACAACAACAACAAAAACAGACACAACAGGCTGAATATTTCCTCAGAGCCATGGGGAAGGGCCCTATAATGGGAACAGCCTGGCTTTGCTTTAGGGATGTGAGGTTTGAGGACATATCTTAGAATCTCAGAGCTGAGCCAGGGCAGGCATAGCAGGCTTGATATCTGAAGGTATTTACTATCTTAAATATATCTAAGACAGGAGGGTTAGGGCTGCAGAGATCACTTTCGGGTCATAAGGATCTTCAGAATCAGTCGGAAGGTAGCGGTGCATTTGAGACAGGTGAATGGAGATTTAGAGGCCAACCTGGGCTACAGAGTTCCAAGACAGCCAGAGAAACCCTGTCTTAATAAAAAACCAAAATAAAAACAAAACAAAGCAGCAAAGATCTTAGGAGCCACAGGGTGCTGTGAGAAAGCAGCTCACAAAGCCTTTATCAATGAGTGTTCAGCAAGGGGTGACGCACATGAACGGCTTCAGGATTCTGTAAGTAGAACTCAGGCCACCGCTTTGTGAACGGTGATACTCTAGCAGGAAAAACAGCTTTTGTGGGCTTCCAGAGAAAGCATAGAAACAGACACTGGAGCAGCTCTGCCAGTAATCTCAGGAGTAATCTTAAGAGTCCTCCACTTGCCTTTAACCTGAGCCCCTGCTTTCAGAAAAGGGAACTTAGTAACAAAATGCATTTAATCACCAGCCTTACAGGGTGTAGACTAGGTCTGGACTTATAGACCAGGGGGTTTAAGTTCATTTATTTGTCCATTATGGCTGTGGGTGGGTAGCTATGGTTCTGACTCCAGCCTGAACTTATAGAAGGAGGAACCCAGGGGCTTCTGGCAAACCATGGGACTAGCTCACTGTAGATGATTCAGAAATGAAACCTGAGAGAGTGTAAAGGAAGTAGGTTTAGCAAGAGAGGAGACAAAAAGAAAAAATCCTAAAGAAGGGAAGGGAGGGGAGTAGAAGGGAGCTCTGATACTCGGCTACCCAGGGTTACAAAAACATAAAACCACAGAAAGCAAGCCACAGAAGGCGGCTCAGGCCACAGTGGGCTCC